GGTTGCTGGAAAAGGCGTTAAGTTCGATTATGCGAAAAGATTGAGGGACTTGCCCTCAAGCCCTGATTTTAAAGCTAATGTGCATGTCCAGGCCCCAGATGATAATGATTTTGAGTCTTCTGCTCCTCCTAAAAACTCGCAACAAGAGAGCAGTCGAATGACTCGTTCGCAAATGAGGAATACTCCCACTCTAGTTAAATCATCGAGGGACTTGCCCTCAACCCTTGCTTCTGAAGCGAATACGTATGTCTAGGCTCCTGATGATGATGATTTTGAGTCTCTTGCTCCTACAAAAAAGTTGCAACAAGAGAGCAGTCGAATGACTCGTTCGCAAACGAGTAATACTCCTACTCCGGTTAACATCGTTAGAATAAGGAGTAAGAAATGTGGGAGACCTGAAAAATAAAAATAAAAGCTGAAAGTTGATTTGGTTAATGAAGATGATGTAGGCCCCAGTGTTAAACCGAAAAGGAGAAAGATCAAGGACGATGGTGACAGTGGTCTTGATTGCATATCGAAAGAACAAAGGTTTGTTATTCGCTGCAAATTGAATGAGAGAAAAGCTAAACTGAAGGTATTCCCTGTGTTGCTATTAATTTTATACATGCTTATACAATTCCATACAAAGTTATACAGCTGTTTATACATCTTTATACAAGTACTACTACACTGATTTATACAATGTTTTAGTATAGTTTTTGTTCCTGATCTATTTCTTGCTATTTTTCCATATGAAAGGTTGGGGACTTCTATATACAACCAGTTGATCATTTCCACAACAAGATTAGTTCTCATACCGAGACTGATATTGTGAGCATTTTGAAGCAATGTTTGACTGACACGCAGCTTCAAATAATCCGTGCTAGTTGTTTTGGGTACTTCTTGGACCTCCCTCAATTTAAAATTTAAAATTCAAAATCAACTTATTCATTGTATACTATTGAGGAAAGTCGTCCCAGGACGGGAAAGGGAGTTGTGGGTGAAAATTAATGGTTGTTTGCTGCGCTTTGGCATTGGAGAGTTTGTTGTTACCACTAGTTTGAAGTGTGTAGAAGGCGATGCCACTTTCTATGAAAAACTATATGTTAATAGGTTGCTAAAAGAGTATTTTCCAGGAAATGGAAAAAAGGCTATAACGAGGGGGCAACTTCTTGATCGCTTCAAGAAAAAGGACTGGAAGTCGGACGAAGATGCGTTCAAGATGGCCTTGATGGTGTTTGTACATCATTTCATATTCTCAGATGCAAATAATCATGGTATCAACAAAGATGATTTTGATATCATTGAAAGTGGTCAATATCAGACGTATGCTTAGGGAAAAAAGTCATTTGAAGATACTTTAAAGACAATGAGGGTCACACAATGTGGCTATTTGACAATGTATAGGCTTGGAGGTTTTCCACTTGCATTACAAATATAGTTTTTTGAGTGTTGCTCTATGGTTGACAAGCACCTAGCTGTTCGTGTTGGCACAAATGTGCCACGCATTCTTAATTGGAAATTTACTGAAACTCCAACATATGCGGATTTGACTAGCGGGGTGATCATGTGTAATATCGATAAGGTAAACATTTTGTACCATAATACTTCTTCATATATGATTTCAGTTTTTCTGTAAGTATGAATATTTATGAATATGTGACAATTTCCTTTTTCTATTATTGTAATCCAGTTTTTCTTCTTGTAGTTGAACAATAGGAACATTTCCCCTATTCGTGAAGAGATGTCAACTCTGAACATCGACACGCTTTTTGAAGTTAATGCCGATGGTGTTGCATCAGGGGAGGTGCCTGCCTTTCACACTGATGATTCTGTTGCTGCATCTCCACCTTGTCCTCAGAATACGGAGCAACAGTCTAAACGACCTTATCCGCAGAATACAGAGCAACAGTCTAAACGACCTTTTCCTTAGAATATGGATCGACAGCCTAACCCGAGTTATGATCCTTTGGTGCGCATTGATCTGTTGAATGCTGATGTTGAGAAGTTGAGGAGTGCTGTTGGAAAGGTACTGGAGCTTTAGCTTTTTTGTAGTTTATCGGTACTTTTTGTATATACATGATTTTTTGGTTATAAACATAGTTGTTGATTTACTTTTGTTGTTATTTTTGTAGTTGACTGATACAGTTACGACACTCAACAATTATGTAGTTTCTTCCTTTGAAAAAGTGTTCAATTTTCTGAATATGAAGGAAAACAAGCAAACGAGGGAGGATGTTACTGATTCTAAGGTAATTTTTTACTGATAAAACCAAATCACTCAACAGTTATGCCTTCTTTGAATCATCACTCAACATGCCTTCTCTTTCTATTGTTTTTTATTAGATTCGTCAGCGCGTGTCTGATGACAATACATCTGGTCTCGGCGAATTTGATGGCTATCAATATGATGTTGTTCTTGACTTTGTCGATCAAGTGAATCAAGATAACGTGCTAGTTGACGAGGGAGTTACTGATGGTGTTGATCATGGTATTCGTTCTATATTTTATCTTTTTTTTTGTATGATTTTTCATTTCTTAATTTTGAAATTTTTTTATTATTGGTTTTCTCTGTCTAAGGGGCAGCAGGTGATGTCAAGGGTGACACATTTTGGGATGACATTGGCGATGAAGATTTAGCTGTACTACAAATGTCCCAAATTGTGCTTCACAAACCATCCATCATAGACGTAGAAGATGATTACATTTCTCCTGAACAGTCAGTTCGACAGAAAATACCAGGAAAATATGCCAAATCTCCATATTTGCCAGTATTTTATTCGGGGGCATCAGGATCGGCGCACAAGCTCATTTTTTATATCAAGCATCCTTTCACGATTGAAACGGATGATTTTGATCCATTGTCTCCATTGGCTAAAGAGTTTTGCGCGTTTGTTGATAATGGGATGGATACGAGGCGAAGATATCTTCACTTTCTTTAATCTTTCATATTATGATTTTATACTTGTCAATGAAGGTAGTTCTGATTACTTTTTATTTTTTGTGATTTGAAGTGCCAAAAATATATATACTGATGAAGTAAATAAGCTTGCGGAAGCTTTTACTTTTGGCTCGTGTCATGTAACCACGAAGGATTGGTTCCACTCACTTGCGTATTGTGGTTGACCTTTGATTGACACGGTATTTAATAACTTTCTGTTCTAATGCCTCTTTTTATTTGTTGCATATCTTTATTGTTTGAGACCCCCATAGTGTATACATAACTTTGTATAATCACAGTATAAGATTGTATAACCTTGTATAAATATGTATACCTCTATATAATAGTGTATATATTTCTATATTTAAAAAATCTGGTAGTGATGGTTGTTCTATTTATTTTTTGTATCAGCACTTGGATGTCCTCTTTTATTATTTGAGGAAGAGGGAAAAATATGGGCCGAGTGTTTCCATGCGGTTTACTACAACTGACTTTGCGTTTGGTAACAAAATCAACTCCATGTATAAAGATTTCAAAGTGAATCAAGATCCTTCAGTGATTCCTAAAGGGCATGAGATAGAAGAGTACATTAGAGGATATTATTGTGATGCAAATGTACCGTGACACACTATTGACCACGTCTTATTCCCTATCTATGTGAAGCGCGGAAGAGCAAAATTAGGCCATTGTGTTTTGGAGTTGTTTACGTTCACAGATAGGTGCATCCACATCTATGACTCTAACCGTGGAGCTATTAATGATAGACTTGCTTTGGATGCTGCATTACCTTATGCAATTCTGATACCTTACTTCTTGAAGAGTTCTGATTTTTATGTCGAGAAGAAGGGCATTGATTGGAACAATGGTGCATATACCGATAAATCCCATTCTGCTGCTTTGCAGATTAATCTGGTTAATAATGTGCCCCAACAGATCAAATGGTAGGTTAATCTCAATTGTTTTACTATTTTACTATTAGTGTACCTATTTGAATCTGATTTGTTTCTTTTTAATTACAGTGAATCTGGTGCTTTTGTTGCTGGCTTTACTGAGTATTTCATCCTTGGTAAGGAAATTCGAAAAGATAATTTTGACATTGAGACACTTTGCACCAGGTGGGGATCTCTGTTGTGGGATTATGGAATGAGAAAACAACAGTCCGATGCAATTAGTGGTGATGAAATCACAGGGAGACTTTTCAGGAAGAGGAAGAGGGGACGACTGAGAAAGTAGTTCTGTTTTTCCATTTTACTGTAGTTTTTCTATGTATCGGGAGTTGTTGCGTAGTTTTGTCTAAGTACTATTCTGCTACTTGTGAGATAACCTTAAAGGATACTATAAATATTTTTATTTTTGTGTAATTTGTGGTAGTCATTACACATTGTGGCTGCGAATGAATTATATTTTAATGAATATTTCAGTTGCTTTTATCCATTAACAAAGTATGTATTTTCATTATGGATGCAATTTTGTTAATGTAGCAGGGTTTATACATATGTATACAACAATATACATAGTTATACAAATTTATACAAACTTATACTCTCATTTATACATTTGTATACATATATTACCATTGATTGTTTGCAGTTCTGTTTTGTATTTGTACAATCTATCAATGTATTTAGCACCATTAAAAACAACAAGACACTATTATTGGATAATCAAAACATGTATAATGAAACATCTCAATTGCTTGTGAAACTTAACTACTTAACATTTGTAACTCTATTGTTTGTGAAACTTAACTACTCAACATGACAACAAATGTATTAGGAAGTGTTATGTTTCAAACTATTTATTTTGGTCGATTCCTACATGTTTTTCTATTGTGACCACCTTGTCCACACACAGAACATGAAAACGCCTTCTTAGACTCTTTCTTTAAAGCAGGTTTGAGTCTTTCCTTTCTTGGCCTTCCTGCATTCCTTCTCCCTTTAGGTGGTAGGACCACATCTTCCAGCACCTCTGTTGGGATTACCCATAAACTCTCATCTGGCATCGGATTCACTGGGAATTCATAAGTTCTAAGGAGTTTATCCTTCTTGTAGTAAAAAGAGCAATACTGGTCAGGTTTCAGCTACTGATTCTTCAAAACCGCCCAAGCATGCGGACATGGAAGTTCATCCATTTGAAATTTTCCGCAACTGCATGTTGCCTCTTCAAGGCACACTATATTTTGCCCTACCCCTTCAAACATAGTATATAACTGCTCCGTAGCAGGCCTCACCTGCAAAAGTTTTTTTTTTAAAAGTCAAAGAACATTATACATTATTATACAAAGCTATACATCCTTATACAAGCAGTAAAATGCAAGTCAGCAGTGCCAAGCATCTTTTTATTTGATTCATTTTACCGTCATTTGCTCCGATGTAATCAGATTTTCCCGAAAGAGTTTGTCATAATTTTCGCCAAGCTCTGTAGATGTCTCCATTGCACTTTTTCTATTTTTGTTGTTCCATTGTTGTAATAAATTTGTCATGTACTCCAGCAATCGCATTACTGGTAACTCTCTAGCATCCTTGTTTGCTGCATTAATTGACTCTGCAATATTGGAAGTCATTACCATCGACCTTTTCACTTTAGAATATGCTCTAGACCACCTTTCGTAGCCAATTTCGAACAAGTAAGGTTGCACCCTTGGATCAATTTTGCACATCTCTGTCATATGGTACTCAAACTTCTTTATCGTGTAAGCTCTAGCCAAAACAAAGAAGATATCCTTCAATTGTTTGTGCTGTTTTTTGAATGTGCGCTTTATATTCTGCCATAAGTGAAACATGCAAATATAATGTGGTACTTCTGGATACACAGCTTTTGTGGCATTGAAGATGTTTTCGTTTCTATCTGAAACTATACACATCCCTTCTCTAACACCAAAAGTACCCTTTATATGGACAAAGAACCACTCCCAAGATTTGTTATTCTCTGAACCTCCAATTGCATATGCAAGTGGAAGGATTTTTCCTGTTTATGCAAAATAGATATTAGGATTCAGACAATTATACAAATCTTATACACAGTTATACACAATTATACAACTTTATACAAACTGCAAATTTTATAAAAACATCAGCTGTGAAATCCTATACACTTTTATACATGAAACTACAACATTATACAAACTGCAGAAAAAGGTAGATGCAGTCAACTCACCAGCTCCATCATGTGTGCAAGTAGTCAATATGGTACCCTTATATGCTGCTTTAAGGAAACTTCCGTCAACAACCATTATCAGTCTGCAATGCTCCCAACCCTTGATAGATGCATATAACGAAACATATGCATAAAGAAAGCATCCATCTTCTGATTTGTGCAACTTTGTAACCGTTCCTGGATTTGTATGCTCCAACATATAAAAATACTTCGGCAACTCCTTATATGAAACACTCAGACTCCCTCTTATCATTGCCATTGCTATCAATTTAGCTCTCTATGCTTTCATATAGCTCACTTCAATCCCGTGTTGCTTTTGTATGTCCTCTATTATATCATTTGCGGTGTAAACTTTTTTTGGATTAACATACTTGTCCTTGATTATACTAGCAATTACACCCGAAGTAGCTTGACGTTGTGTTAAATATCTTTCACCATAGCCGCATGTGTGATTATTATTGTAACTTCTCATTTTGAATATGTTTGCCTTGAAAACGGTAGAAGATTTGAAACTCCAAGCACAATTGTCATCCGCACACATAAGGTGATACGTAGGATTAAAGATCATTCAACTTCTAAATATACTTGTATACAAAAACATAACTAGATATATACTAATTTTAATACCTATATACAAATATATACTACTTTATACATATTTATACATATATATAATAGAATATACAATTATTGACATACCTTGTTGCGCTTGATCTCTTCACCTTAAATTGGAATCTCTCGCGTACAGCCAAGTTCTTCATCACATTTATAATTGTCTCTTTATCTTTATAAACTTGATCATCCTCAACAAATTCGTTCAACATATTATCTATTATACCCGTGTTTTCACTAAGTTTCATGTTTTCAATCAATTCGATATCAGGCATAATCTCACTGCTATCAATTGTGGATACATCTATAGAATTGGAACTTGTAGCAACCAAACAACTGGAACTTGTAGCAACCAAATAACTAGAACTTGTAGCAAACAAACAACTGTCATAAATCTCTTTCACTGTCACAAACAAGGGGTATTCAATGAAATTCAAGTTTTTCTTCTTTAATTCGATATACACCTTAACACCTTTATCATTGTAAATCGGATCGGTGACAAACCATCATTTGGGAGAAAGTTAATCTCTATTGTGTTTAACTCATTATCGATCCTAATCTGTTCCGAAATAGCTGCAACTAAATTGTTGTAGCTGAATGTCGACTCGATTATTATACAATCGCTGACGAAATTGATAAACTTGTTTTCTTCCCATTCACCACTATGAAGAACGTAAACTGGAAAAAGCTCCATCGAACAAAAAGTTGAAATCAAAATTGCATCAAAAATGAAAATTGCGCTGATTTGCAGCAAAAAAATTCACTTTTCGTGTTTGATTTGCTGTTAATTCGAAATGAAGAAGAATTTCTAGGGTTTTTGGAGTTGCATTGATCGCAAGATCTCGTTTTTGTAGATTTGGGGAAGAAGAATGGAAAAAATGAGAGAAAATCCCGCTGAAAGATACAAAATCCCGTTTCTGACTCCCAAAAAACAGAAATAACGCCCCTTTTTCGGATATGGGCGTCTTATTTTTTAGCTACTCAATTGTAATTGAAATATGGGCTATAAAGTTGAAAAGGAAACAGCCCAATTGCTTTAATATGAAATTTTCCCCTTATATAGGTATAACGCATATACCTACCTGTCTTTTCAACTTTAGGTATAGCGCATCCCGTATATGCGTTATACTTATATTTTGACCGCCATTTAAAATTCAAATATAGTGGTTTAAGTCCACATAAACATTATTTTAGTTCTGGACTCAAATAGAGACGGGAGGGCCGATCCATAGAGTTGTTGTAGGTCAAGAGAAATGCATTTTTTAATGGATAATATGGGTGGTTAACTGTTTTCTTTTAACTATTTTGCTACCCTAGTTACTGCATAGTTATGGTCTTGAGCCTTGCCAGGTTTACGTTCTTTGATTGGTCTTTAAGCTTCGGATTTTCTCCCTGTTGCTATGATCTTGTAAACATATTGGTTGTCTAGAGCTTAAAATATTACTACTAAGTATTATGGTTGTATTCTCTAAGAAGAAAATGTGAACAATGTTCTTAATTGACAGGAAGTACTCAAAAAGTTTTCCTCGATATTATTTCTCTTACTCTTATGGTATTATAGCTTGATTGCTTCTTTCTATACTTATTATAATATTTAGAGAACCTATGATATTTCCCATAATGGCTGAAATTTTATTTGAGGTTCCTCCTCCAATAGTATATCAAGGTTACAACCATTTGACTCAAGGACGAAAATTTGATACGGTAGTCACAATCTGCACGAAATATATATGAACATCCAAGGTAGAACATCAGATACTTTCTAAGTAAAATCAAAGATCTTGAAAATTTGTATTATTGAGCTCATTTTAGAGTCAGACTCTTTAATGCGTATAATTGTTAAAATGATTCAGTAAATGCATCAAATTCCATGGAAAATGAAGCACATGGTGATGGAAATCAAAGGAAGAAGATGGAGCAAATCAATGGCCAATTGCAACATTGCTACAGGAAAAGCAATGTCGATGGTGATATTAGTTTAGCAAAATTCAGCATAGGGCAAGCAGGGGCAGATTTAGGGGCAAACCGAAAAATTACACTGTATATAAGGCAAAATATAGTTTTTCACTTTTATATATTAAGCTTTGAACCCACAATTCAAAAGTGTAGCTTAGTGGTCAAGGAACCTTCCTAAGATCACAGGTTCAATTCCACTAGCTATAATTTCTTTTTAACTTTTTTTTTGAACCCTCTTCGTGAAGATCCTGACTCCGCTACCGAGGGCAGGGAGGATCTTTTGGAGCTAGTGAAGAAGAGTCGAATGGGGTTGCAACAATATCTTCATTCAGAGTAAGAAGGACTGATATAATGATAGTTGATAGGTTAGTTTTGTATGAGGGGTGAAGGATGGACATGTAACTTAGGGGTCGTTTGGTTGGAAAGAAGTTATCCCAGGCAGGGGCGAATTTAGGGGGTGGAAGGGTGTTCACCCGAACTTCCTTTTTTACACTGTATATGTAAGGCAAAATATGTTTTCCCCCTTATATATATTATGTTTTGAATCCCCTTGACACAACTTAAAACATAACTTAGTGGTCAAGGGGGTTCAAAACCTTTGTAAGGTCATTGGTTCTATTCCCACTAGCCGTAATTTTTTTAACTTTTTCCTTTTTTTGAACCCCCTTGACGGTAATCCTGCCTCCGCCATTGATCCCAGGATTAATTATTCCGGGATTAGTTATTGCGGGATTAGTTATTTCACCTTTCCATGGGGATGAAAAAACACTACAAATCCGGAATAACTAATCTCGGGATAAAGAGCCCGTTTGGCTTAGCTGACTTAGAGTAGTTGATAAGCATTAGGTGCTGAAAAACACTTTTAAGTGCTGAAGCTGATTTAAAAAATAAGCAGTTACGTGTTTGGATAAAAGTGCTGAAATGAATGATATGCAGCTGAAGAATTAGGTATACGAAGATTTTTTTTTAAAAGAAGTATTTTAGGGATAGAATAGTAAATATTTTGGTCAAACTTAAAGTGCTTATAAGCTGAAATTTAATAAGTTGGGGGAGACCAACTTATGGCTTTTGGCTTATTTTTGGCTTATAAGCACTTTTAATTTTACCAAACGCGTAGATAAGCCAAAAAATGCTTATAAGCCAGTTTGACTAGCTTATAAGCTTAGCCAAACACCCTCTAATTATACCGTAACTTTTTCCCAACCAAACATAAAATAAACTCTTCTTAAATTTAGTCCTCGAATTAATTATTTCTTATCCGTGGCAAAGCAAGACACTAGCTAGGAGGAGTCCTACCGAGGAATTTTTGGCAAAGCTTCATACTAACATGTGCAATTGTATGATCTACTGCTAAGGAATTCATGAATTGTTCAACCCTCGATTGTAAATTGGGGGGCACGGATTCTCACATGACTTTCTCCATTCATCATTTCTAAGTATGTAAAATAAATACCACCACTACAACGCAATTAAAATTTATAGTCACGTCATAAGTTAAACTAATCTACAAACAAAGAATATACGCAATATTGCTTGATGGGAAACTTATCTTAATTAAATCAACAAAGATCAATGATGCAAAAATCCTTGATATCTTCCATTAGTTTACCTAAAGGCAAGTACATGCTACTAGCAATTTTCTTTGAAATTACAATGAAATTTTACTTCAAATAATTTCGTTGAACTTTTACCTTTTAATGTATAAGTAGTAGTGACTAATTGTTAGAAAAAGTTTGATTTTTTAAAAAAATTCATGTGATCTGCATAGTATAATTACGTCAGTCACAAGAATTTAAGCTGCATCTATTAAATTTAATAATCTTTTCATGGTATGTCGTAAGAAAAAGATAAAAAAGGGAAAAAAAAGAACAGAAGGGGTAAAAACTAAACTTGTAATGGTTTCATGACCTAAATTCTAATTTGTAATCGTTTTATGGTCTAAAGTCTAATTTGTGGCCTAAATTGTAATTACATAATCACATATAAAAGGCTTTCTTCTTCCTCTCCCCTGAGGGCGGGAAAGGGCACTTTCAGGAAAGAAGAGATACTCTGTTGAGAGAAATAGCTATGGCGCCAGTTGTGCAAAGCTCTCAGCCATGGGTCGAGAAATAGTAACATTCTTTCCTTCGAATCAAATAAAAACTCATGAGTATTTTTGGACATTTTTCTTAGGTATGTTAACTTTTGAATATTCTTCATTTTGCAGTCGACCGAGGCAAGTGAAGGACGTAGCACACCAGGATGAGGTCGTTCGAGTCCTCACCAACACTCTCGAGACCTCTAATGTAACTTCAATTTCTGTCTTCCATTTCTATTGGTTTATTCTAAGCACATTAAACACTGCTTAGGGTTTCCTTTGCCCTTTTTTTTCTTTAAATTTTTGTATTAACAATACATTTATAGTGTACACCGTCAACACACAGAATTCAGCATCCTTATGTGTCTAAATCCCTAGACCAAAACTTCATAGGCATACATTTCTGTTTTAATTGCTCAAGTTGCTTGTAACATTTTTGGCATTTTTTTGGTAGACTTTTAGGAATTAGTTTTGGTTGCTAAATGTTGTTGAATATTACCCTCGTTTGTTTTCGTTGTAGTGCCCACATATGTTGTTTTATGGCCCTCCTGGAACTGGGAAAACGACGACTGCTCTTGCCATTGCCCATCAGCTTTTCGGGTATGTTTACCTTT